TTGATTACATACCCTCTTATTCCCAAGAAAACTCTAGACATGCTATTTGGAATCTCAAAGTAGCTTATCTGTTTTCTCTTGCTGTAACTGAATACCTGAGACTGAGTAATTTATAAAGTAAAGAAACACATTTCTTTTTTTTCTTTTTTTTTTTTTTTTGAGACGGAGTCTCGCTCTGCCGCCCAGGCTGGAGTGCAGTGGCCGGATCTCAGCTCACTGCAAGCTCCGCCTCCCGGGTTCACGCCATTCTCCTGCCTCAGCCTCCCGAGTAGCTGGGACTACAGGCGCCCGCCACCGCGCCCGGCTAGTTTTTTGTATTTTTTAGTAGAGACGAAACATATTTCTTACAATCATGTAGTCTGGAAAGTACAAGGTCAGCAGGCTGCAGCTGGTGAGGGCCTTCTTGCTAGTGGGGACTTTCTGTAGAGTCCCAAGGCAGCACAGCTCAGGCCACCATATGGTGGTGGAGCTCATAAGAAATGGGCAAACTTTTTATAACAAACCCACTCTGGTGATAAATAGCCTACTCCCTTGATAACCCAAAAACCCATGAATGGCTTAATCCATTCTAGGGGCAGAGCCCTCATGACCCAGTCACCTCCCAGAGATTCCACTTCTCAACACTGCTGCATTGAGTTTCCAACACATGAACTTTCGGGGAATGCGCTGAAACTATAGCCCAGGTTTTCTATGACAGATGGTTTATAAGTATTGCTGTGAAGCCTGTACTCTTCAATACATCATGTATTTCTATGTCTCTCTAGGGATTCTTTGCTTCTAAAAACTGAATACAACCCAAGTTTAAGTAGTACTATAGGAAAGCAGTTCACTGAAGTGCTGAATTTCCAAAGTATATTTTTGTTTCTGAAGTCCTTCAGGTTAGATTCAGCATCCTAAACAGAGTATAGATTTATCCTTTTTACTCACATCTTTATGGAGTAAGAACAGGCCTTGAGTGAATGAGTAAACTGATTAATCTTCACTTCATTTATAATCATTGAAAAGAGCCAACTCATCATTTCTGCCAAATCATACCAATAAATAAGTAGCATGCAGAATGTCCAGTACCATAGGAATAGTGAAATGTATCTCACCAGGTAAATATGTATTTTGAATGGACCTCAGTAAGGGAGGTACAGAAATTAGAAAAGTCACAATTTTAGAGTAAGCATTGACGTTTTGCATTTATTCCCTTAGTGAATAGATTTTATATTAGAAACAGTTTATATAACTAACTAAAAATATTTTTTGGTTCATTTCATTTGATACTGCCTCAGAGTATACTGGAGCCACTCAGGGGAGTTCTGAGTTGGAGATTCTGTTAGTGAGAGTGTAATAGAGGGATAAGAGAAGAGAGCTAAGAAAGACATCAACATTTATGGGTAAGTTATAACAAGAAAAGAAATGACCAGAGAAAATAGAAGAAGAATATCAGGAGAATGCAGTTAGAAAGAAGCAATGAAAGAGACTACTATTTCAGTGCTCTAAAGTTAGGTGCTACTGAGTGGTCATTCAAGATTCCTAAAGAATGGCTGTTAGATTTTAAATCATTAAGGCAAATCACTGATGTCCTTTCTAAGATCAGTTTGTTAGCTTGGTGGTGGCATATGCCAGACTATAGTGGGTTGAGTTGTAAATAGGGGAAAAAAGTAGAGAGAGGAGATGTAGACAGCTCCTTCAAGAAGCTTAGCTCTGAACTGGAGGAATGAAAGTAATAACTAGAGGGGAAATTAATGTCCAGGGTGAATGACATGATTGATTTAATGCAGAATTTTAAGCATGCTTAAATGTTGATGAGCAAGTATTAGTGGAAATGGAGGAGATACAAATACAGGAGAGAGGTGTAATAGATTGAGGTCTGAGGAAATAGAAGGAACAGTCTATGGAGCAAACTTCCTTGAGAGGGGCTCATATCCAGCACAGAGATGGCAGAGAGATTTACTAGAAATAGTAGAAGGAGTGATGTTGTCCATTTTACTGCTGGAGAGAAGGAAAGGTTAGTTAGATAACAACAAAAAGGGGGTTGGCTCTCCAGAAATGACATGCATTTCCCTGTGAAGCGGGGAAGGTTAAGGTAGCAGGGGAGAACTGGAAAGCACTAGAAATTTGAGAGAAGTCAAGAAGGTTTGAAAAGAGTACTTTGCTGTGAAAGGAAACACTGTAGGATTGCTGGGTGAGAAATCTCTGTAATAGAATCTGGCTTAAGCCTATTAAGATTAATTTTTTTTCTATAACAAATAGTTTTTTAAATGAGGGTTTACCATAGTTAACGTTTTAGTTACCCATTATGTATTTCTCCTTGTGCAAATTAAACTTGTTTGTTGTGTTTTTTGTTTTGTTTTGTTTTGTTTATTTGAGACATAGTCTCACTCTTGTCGCTTAGGCTGGAGTGCTGTGTCGCCATCTCGGTTCACTGCAGCCTCCACTTCCCAGGTTCAAGCAGTTCTCCTGCCTCAGCCCCCCAAGTAGCTGGGACCACAGGCGCATGCCACCACGCCTGGCTAATTTTTTGTATTTTTAGTAGAGATGGGGTTTCATCATGTTGGGCAAGCTGGTCCAGAACTCCAGACCTCAAGGTGATCTCCCCTCGAACTCACAAAGTGCTAGGATTACAGACATGAGCCACCATGCCTGGCCTATTGTGTTTTTTAAGAAGTGACTTAAAAAGACCAGGCAGGCAGATCACTTGAGGCCAGGATTTGAGACCAGCCTGGCCAACATGGCAAAACCCCATCTCTACTAAAAGTACAAAAAAGTTAGCCACACATGGTGGCACGCACCTGAAATCCCAGCTATTCAGGAGGCTGAGGCACTAGAATTGCTTGAACCTAGGAGGTGGAGGTAGCAGTGAGCTGAGATCCCACCGCTGCCCTCCAGCCTGAGCAACAGAGCAAGACTCTTTCTCAAAAATAAATAAATAAACAATAAAAAATGACTTATTTTTGTATAAACAATGCATGTTTATTATAAAAAGTTTAAATGAGACAAAACTGATAAAGAAGTTTTTAAAAATTACTCAGTAGCTCACTTCTCAGAAATTCTCATTAGCATTTGGTCGGTGCCATTAAGAGAGAGAAATGACTTTATACAAATGTGATCATATAGTGTATGTGCTATTTCAAATAGACTAAATTTCATTTTGAGTTTGAAAGAAAAAGAAATAATACAGAAGAAATTACTGAACCTCAGGTACGGGTTTTTTTTTTTTTGTTTTTTGTTTTTAACAAAAGATACAAAAGATAGGTTCTTAAATGATCCTTTAGGCCATAAGAGAGAATTCTGAAGCCTTTTGTAGACTTGATTTTTTTTTCTTTTCTTTCCTTTTTTTTTTTTTTTTTTGAGATGGAGTTTCGCTCTTGTTGCTCAGGCTGGAGTGCAGTGGCACAATCTCAGCTCACCACAACCTCTGCCTCCTGGGTTCAAGCAATTCTCCTGCCTCAGCCTCCTGAGTAGCTGGTGATTACAGGCATGCACCACCATGCCTGGCTAGTTTTGTATTTTTAGTAGAGATGGAGTTTCTCCATGTTGGTCAGGCTGCTCTCAAACTCCTGACCTCAGGTGATCTGCCCACCTTGGCATCCCAAAATTACAGGCGTGAGCCACCGGGCTCGGCCTTTGTTGTTGTTGTTCAATCACCCAACTTGAAAATGTGTGACTTGATTTTAATGCTTGTATGAGCATAGTTTTCTTCTCCTGCTCTTGATGTTATATGTGGTGTCAGTGATTCTGTGTCAGATGGTTGACCATCCTATAGTTGGTCAAGTATACTTTTTATTTCAGTGTTTATGCCATCTTGTTTGGAATGTGAGTCTTTGAAAGTGGCTATGATTTCTAAGTAGGCCACCTTCTTGACTGATAGGATCACTTTCACAGACTGTGAGAAATCTTAGGGTGTCTTACTTTATACAATTAGTCCACTTATAGAAAGAGAAAATGTTTCAAAACTCGGTGAATTTAGAAAAGCTAAACTTTAGCACTTTTGGACTCTTGTGTTATAAGAAATTTTATCTGTCTTTATGTCTAAATAGTATCTGACTGTTGAATACACCTTCCTTCTTTAAATATTTTTTCCCTCACTCTCATAAGACCATACTCCTAGTTTTTCTCTGACTTAGGTTAGTCCTTTTCAGTCTCTTGCCAAGTTCTTCTCCTCTCTCAGACATCTGAGTGTTGGAGTGCTCTCTCTAGGTGAGGTCATTCAGATCTGTTACTTTAAACACATTTGATAACTGTCAATTTTATATCTTCATTCATGACCTTTCATCCTAGCCTATCTCTAAAATATAGTCTTAGTACAAACGCTTCTTTTCTTCTCCACAGTCTTATTTGAGTACCACTCGTCTGGTTATTGCTCATTGGCACCACTATAGCTACCTCCTAACTTTGTCTGCAGTCACTCTTGCCTCCTCTCTTAGAATCTTTTCTTTTTACAGTAGCTAAAGTGGACTATTTAAATCATAAGTCTTATCACCCTGCCTTCCATATATATATATATAGCTATATATATATAGTTTTTTTTTTAAACAAGGTCTTACTCTGTCGTCCAGCATAATCACAGCTCTAGGAAAAAAAAAACCTAGAAACTCTGTTTATTTTAATCCTTTCCAAGATGAATTGAATAGCATGAAACTATATTACTCAAAATTAATTTTTTGAGTATATTGCTGAGGATTTCTTCTAAATTAGTAATTCCTACATTAAAAAAAAAAGGTATATTCCCCAGTTACTGGAAGAATTTTGTGTGTTAGACTCTCTGCTAAACACTTGACATATATTATCTGATTTAATCATATCCATTCTCTGGGAGGTAGAAGCATCCTCATTTTAAAGATGCGAAGATAAGATCTATAGAGGTTAGGTAATTTGTCTAAGATTCTATGATCAGTAAATCTATCTGATTATAGAGTCCGTGAACTCAGATAGGTTTGCTGATCATAGAATCATATATATATATATATATATATATATATATATAGTTTTTGTTTTTTTTTTTTTAACAGGGTCTTACTCTGTCACCCAGCATGATCACAGCTCACTACAGCCTCGACCTCCCAGGTTCAAGCAGTCCCCCACCTCAGGTCCCCAAGTAGCTGAGACCACAGGTGTGCACCACCATGCATGGCTAATTTTTTTATTTAGAGACGAGGTCTCACTATGTTGCCTAGGCTGGTGTCAAACTCCTGAGCTCAAGCGATCCTCCTGCCTCAGCCTCCCAAAGTGTTAGGATTACTGGTGTGAGCCACCATACCAGGCCTCAAAGACTATATTCTTAAGCACTAAATCTTGTACTAAAGAAGGCAAGATGCAAAAAAATAAATTGCTATGACATAAGTGTATGATGAAGTTGGTTGACCCAGAAGCATGTCTTTGGAAAAGAATCTCCAATTTTTTAGCTCTAAGAAATGAGAAGTTACCCAAATGGCCACCAAATTTTATGGAAGCTTTTATTTTATGGCTGTTCTAGGCCCATTCTAGGCTATTCCATTTGACAGGATAGCCTTAGTGTTCCCTTTACTTAATTTTTATCTTAATATTTGACAATTTTTTTTTCAGAAATAAATTTAAATTCTACTTATGGTATGTTACCACCTCACAATACAAATGAATATAATAATATTAACCTTGGGGCAAGGGAGCAACAGTGCCACCAAAGTATATAAGGTCTGTGGTTTGAATTTTTTTCTTATAGTAGGGGGAATAGATTAGTGATGATACAGTCATAACTCATTTCCTAGGCTAGTCCTTGGCAGAGTCTAGGTAAGGTACAAACTAGAAAATAATTTGTTTTTTTTTTTTGGGGGGGGTCGTTTTTGCTCGGCAAGGTCTTGCTCGGTTGCCCCGGCTCGACTGTAGTGGCATGATCATGGCTCATTACAGCCTCTAACTCCTGACCTGAAGCAGTCCTCCTACCTTAGCCTCTCCAGTAGCCAAGAGTATAGGCACACACCACCATGCCCAACTATATATTTTTTTAATTTTCTTGTAGAGACAGGATCTTGCCTTGTTGCCCAGGCTGGTCTTGGACTCATGGGCTCAAGTGATCCTCCCACCTTGGCCACCCAAAGTGCTGAGATTACAGGTGTGAGCCACCACACCCAACCTAAAAGATAATTTGAAAATTGCAAGATAGACACATGATTTCTTCCCCTTCCTCCTTTATTCTGTTTTTTTCTTTGGATTTGTTTAGATCGTCGGAGGGCTTTGTTTTCTTTGCATTCAGAAGAATTGCAGTTACTAAGTTTCTCTCTATTATCAACTTCGTTAAAATTGAGGATTGTAATTAAGAATTGCCATTAAAAACCTGCTAATGCATTTACTGTAGGGATGTTGTTGAGGACATCACTATGGTTAGTCATTGGACCCTACATAGAGACAACTATGTAGGATATTTTTCATTCTGAGTGTCACAGAAAGCTTAGTCACTTCTGTAACTTACAGTGTTATTGTGTTGCTTGACTGCCAGGAAGCTTCCATTTTTATTTTCCTACTTTATTGTGCTATTTGCATAAGATGCCTCAAATCTTGACAAGAAGTAAATAATATTGGGCTTTCAGGGAGACTTCTTTCATATTTTCAAAGATTCAAAAAATTTACCTAAACCACTGTCTATTTTGTTTATTAGTAAAACATAATGTAACTCCTCATTTCTGCTAATTTTGCTCATATGAATTTGACATTAAATAGTATACTATTTGTACACAAAAACTTAAATACTACTTTACATACCTATACTTTAATTGTAATAGTATATTTATGTTTTATTATTATTACTGAATAATCCACATTACAATACAACTTAATTATTTTTAATTCTGGGAAATTATATTTTAAAACAATTTATAACTTGTAACAAGAGTATCTTGGTTTTTGGTATTTAAGAATGAGCTGTGTTCACTGTTTCTCTTGACCAAAGTCAATCAAACTCTCTCATGATTTCTTTGATACCTCTGTCTAAAATAATTGATACTTTATGTTTGAAAACATCTCATTTGGGGACTATAATCTAATTGGTAATTTTAATGAAATTAATTTGTTTATAAATGTGTATATTGTTTGGTGGATGTATCATTGCTTTCTGTTTGTAATATTTCTTAGTATTTGTTCATTTTTTATGATACTGTTCTTTATCTGGTAATTTGAGTAAATCCCAGTTGAATTATGTTGCCACATTATGTCTTCAAAAGGGCATAAAGTCAGTACACATGCTTCAGTAATATCTGGTTGTTTTACCCTTATGTTTCCCGTTGGCAATTTGAAATTATGGCTTCAACTGCACTTTAAATATGTGATAATAGCATGTGTTTCTAATAAGGGCCAGCATCATTTTGTTCAGAGAGTGTGAATGGTTGTCACTCATATATGACAAATGCACCTTCATCTGCTTCTTTGATAGCCCCCTAAAAACCATACCCTGAAATCAGGCCGATGAAATTAGCTGCTGTGTAAATTGTGTGTCTGAGTGGTTCATTATCTAATCACCGTCAGAACCACAGTGATAAAGTAGATTGAAGCAGGGAAGAGGTCTGCCAGATGATTTCAGACACCCCCCTCCCTAAATCTGGTTTCCCTTGGAAACCCTAATAGTGCAGTTTAGAACTTCAATCTTTCATGCCTGGAATTCAGTATCTTTTAATGTACCAAACTTGGAAATGCCAATAGTTCTAGAACATAATTTTGTTTTTGTGAAGACCATAATTTTATTTATTTAAATCAATTTTTGAAATATTGAGACTCTTGAACTACTGTTTTATTGCCAGTAGCCTCACTATTACTAAATGGGGAAAAAATGCTATGTCCTACTTGCTGAGAAGCCAGAGTAATTTATTTATTATGTTTATTTGTTAACCTTCTAGGAATCTTTCACTCTAATCATAATGAGCCCTCTGTATTATTTGTTTATTGAATTGCTTCCCTTTAATTCATTTTAGGTGCTTTTGAAGATGATGATATCACACATGTTGAAGGAAGTGTAGATCCTATTCGAGATATAGAAATAATACATGAAGAGCTTCAGCTTAAAGATGAGGAAATGATTGGGCCCATTATAGATAAACTAGAAAAGGTGGCTGTGAGAGGAGGAGATAAAAAACTAAAACCTGAATATGTAAGTAAAAATTTACAGCTTCTTTAGATACTCAAGAGTTTCTTGATTAAATTTTTTAAATAATGCATATGATATATCTAATATTGTTATGGAATTTTAGAAGCCAAGGGTTATATCTGTTAAAAAAAATTGTTAAGAAACTTTATTTTTAAACAACCAAGGACCATGGTGATAGGCTATTTAGGGGGTTCTAAGCAAGCAGTAGTTAGCAGTAATAATGAGTGTTTATATGATTACTATGTAGGTCTTCAAGTTTTAGTGTTAATAAAGTGTGGTTTATGATGAAAAACTTACTGGATTTGGCAAAATGACTCATACAGGTTTCATGGATTTGAAGAAGTGATTTATACAAAGAACTGGTTCTCCAGAGGGGTTAACTAAATTAATACACTCTTAAAGTAAACAGATCATTTTAATATTTTATGGAATGAAAAGATGCATCATTGTTCTTAATATTCAAATATGTTTTCTATCACATTATAATGAATAATTATTAGTAACGTTGTAATAAATGTTCCAAAATGTACTTTGAGGCTTTTAGTTTACATATGATTGAATTGTCTTTAACATTTAAGAAACGGTGCCCTGGCGAGGCATGGTGGCTCACGCCCATCATCCCAGCACTTTGGGAGGCTGAGGTGGGTGGATCACCTGAGATCAGGAGTTTGAGACCAGCCTAGCCAACATGGTGAAACCCTGTCCCTACTAAAAATACAAAAATTAGCTGAGTGTGGTTGTAGGTGCCTGTAATCCCAGCTACTCAGGAGGCTGAGGCAGGAGAATCACTTGAACCTGGGAGGCAGAGGTTGCAGTGAGCAGAGATTGTACCACTGCACTCCAGCCTGAGTGACACAGTGAGACTCCATCTCAAAAAATATATACAATAGTGGTCTCATAAGATTATAACGTCATATTTTTTCTCTACCTTTTCTATGTCTAGATAAACAAATATTTACCATTGTGTTACAATTGCCTACAGTATTCAACACAATAACATGCCCTACAGGTTTGTAAGAGCAATAGGCTATACCATATACCCCACAGCCTAAGGAATATTAGTAGGCTGTACAGTCTAGGTTTGTGAAAGTATACTCCGCATTGTTTGCACAAGGAGAAAATTACTGGAAGACACATTTCTCAGAACAGTATCCTCATCATTAAGCACTGCATGACTGTAGTTTCTTTGGGAGCTATATCAGGAGACACATCAGAGAGTAAGGAATTGAAACTAGTAAGAGAGGCCGGGTGCGGTGGCTCATGCCTGTAATCCCAGCACTTTGGGAGGCCGAGGCAGGCAGATCACGAGGTCAAGAGATTGAGACCATCCTGGCCAACGTAGTGAAACCCTGTCTGTACTGAAAATACAAAAATTAGCCAGGCGTGGTGGCAGGCACCTGTAGTCCCAGCTACTCAGGAGGCTGAGGCAGGAGAATTGCTTGAACCCTGGAGGCGGAGGTTGCAGTGAGCCGAGATCGCGCCCTTGCACTCCAGCCTAGTGACAGAGTGAGACTGTGTCTCAAATAAATAAATAAATAAAATATTTTTAAAAATAAAATAAAATGAAACTAGTAAGAGAAAGTAACCAACACAAAGTATGTAAATGAGCAGGTTACCCTTATGGGCAAGAGTAAGGAAGCTGGGGTAATTATCAACCAATTTATATCAGTTACTGGCTATGGGCTACTCCGAGGAGTGTTAACTCCTTGGTGCCTGTGTTAACTCCTTGGTGCCTGATGTCTTTGTGGTTTGAGCATAGAATTGAGTCAGACTAACAGATGCTTACCTTAAGCCATCACCATGTACTAGACCTGTGATAGCAAAGGGAATTTTGGGCAGGGTAATCCTATAATTCTAGCACTTCAGGAGGCCAAGGCAGGTGGATCACCTGAGATCAGGAGTTTGAGACTAGCCTGGCCAACATGGTAAAACCCCATCTCAACCGAAAATACAAAAATTAGCCAGGTGTGGTGGTGCGTGCCTGTAATCTCACCTACTCGGGAGGCTGAGGCAGGAGAATCACTGGAACCTGGGAGGTGGAGGCTGCAGTGAGCCGAGATCATGCCACTGCACTCCAGGCTGGCCAACAGAGTGAGACTCAGTCTCAATTAAAAAAAAAAAAAAAAGGAAAAGGAAAAGAAAAGGGATACCTATATGATTATGAGATCAACTAGCTACTGTAAGGAAGTTTCTTTTAGAAATATATTTCTTATTTTCTCTAGCAAATGGTCTAAAGGTACAAAAATGTGATAGACATAAAAGAGATAGCTACTTGAACTTTATGAGAAAGATAGGCAGGTCATTTTGTATTTTAGTTTAGGCATTGTATTTACCTATTCTTCTTCAATATTGTTGATTCTTCCTGTTCATTTAAATGTATCTTTATTTTCTGAGTAATCTTTCAAAAATTCAACATTCAAACCTCTTTTCCTATGAAGTTTCCAGTTTCTAGATTTGGATTTTTGTATTTTTATGTCAATAAGCATGAATGACTTAGGTTAAATATTCTCTAGCATGAAACATGAGCTGACTTTTTAATGTTAAAGCAGAGTCTTTCCTGAGAGCAAGGTAGATATACTCTGACATAAGATACACCTTTTTTTTTTTTTTTTTTTTTTTTTTGAGACTGAGTCTCACTCTGTCACCCAGGCTGGAGTTCAGTGGCACTATATCGGCTCACTGCAACCTCCTGGTTGAAGTGATTCTTCTGCCTCAGGCTTCCAAGTAGCTGGGACTACAGGCGCATGCCACGATGCCCGGCTAATTTTTGTATTTTTAGTAGAGACAGGGTTTCACTGTATTGGCCAGGCTGGTCTCAAACTCCTGACCTCATGATCCACTCACCTCGGCCTCCCAAAGTGCTGAGATTACAGGCGTGAGCCACCGCGTGCGGCCAAGGTACACCTTTTATAGTGAGTCTTGCTGTCTGAAGTAAAACCCAGGCATTAAAGAAGGCAGGAGTGGGATAAGCATTTTCTCTTGGTATCAGCCAAATGTGTTCATTTCCTAGGGTGGCTGTAACAAGCACCATGAACTGGATGACTTTAAACAACTATGTCTTCTTTCCCGGTTCTAGAGGATGAGAAGTCTGAAGTCAGGGTGTTGGCAGCTCCCTCTGAAGCCTCTCTGGGGGAGAAGTTCTAGCTTCTGGTAGCTCCAGGTGTTCCTTGCCTTGTGACAGCAGAACTCCAATCTCTGCCTTAGTCTTCACATGGCCACCTTTCCTGTGTCTCTGTCCAAATTTCCCTTTTCTTATAAGGACACAAGTCATACTGGCTTAAAGGCCCACCTTCCTCTAAGTATGGCTTCATCTTAATTAATTCCCAAATAAGTTCACTTTCTGAGTATCAGGGATGGGATTCAATCTATGATACCAAGTCATCAAGATCAAGGTTAATTTTAAATCTATTTATGTGTATGTACATCTCATTTGGAAAAATGAAATTTGAAAAATGAAGTTAGGAGGCTTTAAGAAACAATTTATTTTGTATCAATTATTTGGAAATCATTATACTTAGAAAATATTCATAGAACTAATAGCTAATTAAAGAACTAAAGACCACTAGAAATTATAATTAATGAGTCTTTTTTTCTGAAAACATCTGAGTAAAAAATTAATGTCCTCAGTAATATGTAACTATTAGCAGATTTCTTATATTCTTAAGGCAATTTTTAAAACTGGTATTAACATAGCTTTTGAAATATTTAAGGTATTTGTTTTTAACAAACATTGAAAGATTCAGAGTAGCATACAGGCATACTTCATTTTATTGACCTTCACTTTATTCGGTTCCACAGATGTTGTGGGTTTGGGGGGTTTTGTTGTTTTACAAATCAAAGGTTTGTGGCAACGCTGTGTTGAGCAACTCAATGCCATTTTTCCAACAGCAGGTGCTCCCTTTGTGTTTCTGTGTCACATTTTGCTAATTCTTACAAGATTTCAAGCCTTTTTGTTATTATAGTATTTGTTTGACCGGTGATCTTTGATGTTCCTGGTATAACTGCTTTGGGGAGCCATGAACCATGCACATAGAAGACAGCAAACTTTGTCGATAAATGTTGGGTGTGCTCTGATTGCTCCACCTACTGGCCGTTTTCCATCTCTCTCCCTCTCCCAGGTTGTCTATGTTCCCTGAGACACAACATTGAAATTGGGCCAAATATTAATAATACCCCTACGATGGCTTCTGAGTGTTCAAGTGAAAGGAAGAGTCACATCTCTCACTTTAAATCAAAAGCTAGAAATGATTAAGCTTAGTGAGGAAGGCATGTTGACAGCTAAGATAGGCTGAAAGCCAGGTCTTTTGCACCAGATAACCAAGTTGTGAATGCAAAGGAAAAGTTCTTGAAGGAAATTAAAAGTGCTCCTCCAGAGAACACATGAATGAGAAGAAAGCAAAACAGCTGTATTGCTGATATGGAGAAAGGGATTTTTTTGTTTTATTTTGGTTTGGTTTTTTTTGACACAATGTCTCACTGTCTTGTCCAGGCTGGATCCAAACCCCTGGGCTTAAGTGATCCCCTTACCTCAGGCTCCCAAGTAGCTAGGATTATAGGTGTATACCACCATGCCCGGCTAATATGGAGAAAGTTTTAGTGTTCTTGATAGAAGCTCGAACTATCTGCAATATTCCCTTAAGCAAAGGACTAGTCCAGAGCAAGGTCCTTACTCTTTAATTCTAGAGTTAGAAAACAGAGAGGTGAGGAAGCTGCAGAAGAAAAGTTGAAAGCTTGCAGAGGTTGTTTCATGTGGTTTAAGAAAAGAAGCCATAGCCCTAACATAAAACTGCAAGGTGAAGCAGCAAGTGCTAATGTAGAAGCTGCCGCAAGTTCTCCAGAAGGTCTAAGATCACTGATGAAGACAATGAAAACAACAGATGCTCAATGTTGACAAAACAGCCTTGGAAGAAGAGGCCATCCAGGCTTTAATTGCTTGAGAAGAGAAGTCAATGCTTGGCTTCAAAGGATATGCTGACTCCCTTGTTAAGGGCTAATGTGGCTGG